GTTTTCAAAGCTGTGGTATTCTTTTAGAATCACCCTGTATATTAATATATTAAGCAGTCTATATTGATCTTAGATGAAGTAAGAGCTCACGATGATATATCATAAGATATGTAGTGCTGTCCCATTTCTTAGGGGTAAATTTTGAACACTCTGTTTCAAGGGCCAAGAGGAAGGGGCAGGGGTACAAAAATAGAATTGGGATTGGGCCTTAACCAATTAAAGGTGCAGTATGAAAGTTTGACACCCATTGGTTGAACTAGGTATTGCATTCCTGGATCAAAACAAACACAAGTGCAGTTTGCCAGATTAAGGATCAACCAGTAGCGAGTCTGATGATCAAGCCTAAAGGCAGACTTAAAACATGTTATATATAAAAGCAACAGCACGCGATAGAAGGAATAGAAGGAATATTATCCATGTTAAAAGGAGTTTTTCTTCCAACAAACACTTCAAATTGATATTTTACAAACGGCTTCTATTTCTAACAGGTGAACAGAAAACTGACAATAATCACTTCAGGTACATCTCATGTACTTTATTCAGTATTAAATGCTAACAATGTGAGTTTTAATGAAATTTCACATGACATTTATTGCCATACTACTGTAAGGAGCAGCAGATATAGATCACCTCAGATCTTGAAAATAAAACAAGCCATTTGAAATTGAACTTTAAAACTGTGACTCAAAACCAACACCTATCAGTGACTCAGCATCTACATTTAATATGCTTTGAGAGCCTTTCTGAATGAATGAATGAATGAATGAATGAATGAATGAATGAATGAAAACTGCAAGGCAACCTGGGGGCTGTTCCAGAAAGCAGGTTATGTGACATACCCAGGTAAGTTTGAGAGTAAGTAGGTGGATAACCTCAACTTTGGTTCCAAAATCGGAGGTAACTTCTGGGTATGTTAAGTAGCCATAGCAACTTACTCTCTGAAGATAACCTGCTCCGGAGCAGGTTATGTTCAGAGAGTAAGTTGCTATGTTTCAGAGTTTGTCTGTTTCAGAGTTTACTGAGCATTGCGTGCCCTTTTGATGAGAATATTTATGGATGTGGACACACAGATACAAGTTTTTTCGTTGTGAGAGGGTTATAAGTGCATAGTTTTTTTCATAACCAAATTCATAATGTTAATGTATTTAACAAACCTTTTTGAAATCAAATGTGACAAACTGCGGGTCTGCGCATACCATAAAAAACATTCAGTGCAGCTCTTTGTATTCGCTTCAGGGCATTTTAGGCAACTGTACAATGTGGCAGTATGACCACCTGTACAGTACGCCTGGCACTGAACTGTTTTTTACACTTTTGTACAGTTCCTTGGACATAAATCACTGCGTATCATTACACAGATGATTCAGAGCACGGGAATAGCGTAGTGGACAATGCGTTGATAAAGAACAATGGAGCGCACAACGGAGCGAGTTCGAATCTCACTTACAGACCTTGTGTTTTTTCTCTCCTTCTGCACCCTCACATTTTTCTGTATAATATTATAAGTGGCAGCTTTGTCTTTTGTAGGAAAATATATCTTTAATTAAAGATGTAGGACGTCGTTCTTATATATACATTCACGCACACACACCTACATTTTTTAATATAATATTTTTTTCAGGGTTTCTAAATGCTATTGTGTGCATTAATTGCAGCCGATTTTAAAGCTCCATCAGTCACTAAAGGACACTGATAATATAAAATTTGTCCAAAGTATAAGTGTGCAGGTACAACTTAATTTTCTATCCTTAATCTTTTGGTGTTTCAACTATTAAACTCATTACTGCTTCCACTTACCAGCTCATCACACACTCCACCTCATCACTATATTGAGGCTAAATGGCTGATTTTCAGGAAGTAATGATTCAAGTGTATAACACAAATATAGTTAAAAAAAACTATAAAGCAAATGTTGCTTAACACAATGTTTATTTTTATTATATTTGTATTTTAAAATAGAATCATTTCTGGGCACTACATTGTTACTTGCTGTAGGACAAAAGATACCCTTCTCTGCCTTATACGATGACACCTGCAGCCTGACCCAGAGGAAATCTCAGTGACCCAAGCAGACAAAACAGATGGAAGAGTGCTAAAATATATATAATTAGTCAAAAAACTATGTTTAATCAAATAGTTTGATCTGTTGATTTCTTAATTTCCTGAAATAAAATGAATGATTTTGTACACTGCTTTATACACACACCTTTCAACGTGTAACATATTTTTCATATACATTTCTCATCTTTATCTTTGAAGATGGACCTTATACAGCTACTTTAGAATTTAAATATGCAGATAAAAGATTTTGTGATCCAAGAGTAATATTTAAATATGGAAAAGTGCAGAAAATTCTTACACTGCTTGTTAGTTGAGGCAGAAGGAACTTCGTCTGCATGCAAAATAAAAAGAACCTAAAGCTATCTGACAACAATCACTTACAACAGTGACAGAGTGTGTGGTTTAAGTCAAAAACTCAACCACTGAAAAGCCTTTATTATAGGACACAGCAGTTAGACAGGCTTCTTTCTATTAGCTGAACTAATTATTAATGAACTAATAAATTTTCTTATTATTTATTTTTTATTTTCTTATCTATTTCTTATTCTATATTTCTTTCCTTCGTTGAAGCAGATGTGTAATCTCTGTGTTTAAAACCTCCAGCTTCGCCTCTGTAAAGTGCGTTGCCCTTTTTTTCTCACCGTGACTTTCTATGGTGACTCGTGAATTCGGCGATCTACTGAAAATGCCTTCAGGTGTGTGCCGTGCACGCGCATTAACCCGCGGTTATCTTCAGGAGGTTGATTTAACTAACTCTTGTCACCTGTTTTGGAACCAACATACTCGCGGTAAGCAGGTTTTGGGTAAATCAACCGAGAGTTTAGGTTTTAGTAGATGGTAAGTTAACCCAGCTTTCTGGAATACCCCCCTGGGGTGCTGCTGATATAATTGGCTAAAGTGAAATTGGGTGGGTTAAAAGAACCAAAACAAAGACAGCGTTTCATCACGTAACAGACATTTTCAAAGCAGAATAACTGACTTTAGCATTGTTTTTCAGATAAACAAGAATGTTCACTTAGCAGGTTTCTTAAATATCTGAGTGCAAACATATTATGTTTTTTTCTGCTTTAGAAGAGTCAAAAACATACATACAGCACCTTTAATATAAAATTGTGGAAACTGGGCCATAACGTTACGACTCCCATCTAAGGAGTGATAAGGGCAATGTCACTAATGGTGGTGAGGTTACACCCAATCACACAACTGAAAAAAAGAAAAAACAAAAAAGTGACTATTCTTACTATGAGGAAAAACAGAGCAAACAAAGTAGCTGGTGTAACAAATTCAAGTCAAAATAGCCTACAGTACATGTACACCTGAATTCAAGATTAGGATAAGGAATAATCAAATCTTATTTTTTATTGATCAACCTACTGAGAGAAAAGAGTGAATCTAAAAAAAGATAATTTAAGGCATACAATCTAAATTGGGTTGTGGAAGTTAAAACAGTTGGATAGTTCAGAATAAACACAAAGAATCATGGAGAGGTCTACAAACAAAACAACTGAACAATAGAAGGAGAACCAAAAAATACAAAGTTCCTCATCTGCTCCAATATTATCAGCAAGTCACTTATTAAAGGCGTTTTTTAGGAAGTACACCTCAGAAAAACCAATAAAATGTCACATGGAAATAACTTTAATTACTTTAATTTACACACAAAAGAAAGAAAAAATGCAGTAACTTGGGTAGAAAAAAAAATTCTAATAAAAAACAAAAAACAAAAATCTGTAGATACAAGTTAAAATGTTATAAATGCAATATGTTTATTGTAGAGACCTACATGTATCTATTGTGAGCTTAAACTGCATTTAGACATGCCCAAAGCCCCAAACCCTTCAAAAACATTGAGGTAAAGTTGGGTTTAAATTCACACATTCAGAATTTAACCTTCTTAATATAATTTAATAAAAGTATTTTTAGCAAATTCAAAATAAGAAAAAAAAACATTATTAGTCAATGACTATCCAAGTACAAAATTGTTCACAGGTAATTAAATAGTGCTAATGTTGATTTGAAGTCATACTTTTGAAGTCATACAAGCGATTTCAGACAAAATATTCAATCTAGCATGATAAACAATATAGAGACCTTCCATAGTGAGAAGTGTGTTTATCAGCTTTTTAGTTACAGTTACAAACATGAGTTTTGCACATAACAGTTCATCATAATAACCTTTATTAGCCTATTTTAATTCTGCTTTAGTCTGAATGTGCATATATATAAATCCAACTTTACCACAATAAAAAAAAAAATAACCATGGTTTATTATAGTAAAAGTGTTTCTGTTTGTACAAGATGATTGTCATTCGTATACCTACAGATTTACAAATACCATTAGTTAGTGAAACAAAATCAAGGTTCATTTGTTGTCATCAAACTTTAACTACAATTTTATGTAATGTTTTGTTTTATCTGTAACAAACCCATGGTCCATCTTCAGTAAATTGTAACAAGTTCCCAGAGAAACTATATAGAAAAAAATAGGTCATATAATAGGTCAAATGTAGTATTTAATTTGATTTAAAGAGGTTAATGATCTACATAAACATAATGTTTATCACTTACTTCACTTCGCCAGCTGAAAATATGCAAGTATTAAGGTATTATGGAGTAAGTCAGTTTGATGAAAGTATAAAATATGTATTATTCACACACACTGTAAAAATAAAGCAGCACATTAATCAACCAAACCAAACATCCGCTAGCGTGAGCACTCACCAGCCGGTCAAGCTAACTCGAATAGCGGAATAATCATAACGGTTGCAAGTCATGATAAATAATCAACTGACATTTCTCAGGCTGATACAAGCCCTGAGGGAAGTAACTGGCCAGCAAGTAACGTTACTAACAAAAGCTCTCCCCTGAGAAGCTCATTTCTGGAATTTATAAACGAGCTAAACAACGAATAAACGAGGACATGAATGAGGGCACATTACCTCTCTGTGACTTTGTCCTCCTCGGTCTCTTGTGTTATCTTGAGGAGAGCATTAATCGCCTGTTCCGCGTCTCATAGACCCTGTAGTTTCTGTGAAGCTGTCGCTGCTGCCATAAACCCCACCCTCAGGACATGTAAATGAACAGGATGTGACGTATTAACTGTTGGTTCCGCTTCGGTCCGTTGCTCCGATACGTCAATGCGGCCGCCATCTTAATCCGGTCATCATTGCACTATAAACAGACGCAACCGAACGGAGGAGCTGCTGTTTTCTCGGATATAAAATACAATACGCTTATTTTTATTGACTGATTATACATTTATGCTGTGAAAATAAATTTAATTACCTAGACGTGAGAACGCTCAAACTTGTAATGTATATTTTATAGTAGAAAGAGAGATGCATAATAACTAAATGTAGCCTATATCCATCAAAAATAGTGCTGGAATGAATCATCTTTTATCTTACAGTTTAATAACAGTTAACAAAACTAATTAATAAAAAGTAATGAATCACACATTATTATAATAGTATACATTCTATACAATAATGCAGATTAAAATAATACATCTAAAAAGATCAATTAATAATAGTAAATAGAATATGAAATAGCACGTGTGTATGAATGTGTTTACCACCATTGGCTGAAAGAAACGTATAAAAGGTCATTTATTCCATTGGCGGTGTTATGCAGGTTAGTGTGCATAGGTGTGAAAAAACAATAACCATGTCCATCATTAAGGCAGTTCTGATGGAAATAGGGTGGTCCAACCTGGTACTAGTAATAAATACCTAATAAAGTGGCCAGTGAGTGTACATGTTTTGTTTTATTAGAGAGGAATCTGTGTCTTAAATCCATTCAAATCTATTTCCAATTGTTTTTAACAGTTCATCTGACTGCTTGACACTGAAAACTGGATTTAAATAAAAATGTTTTGCAACAATTATAAAACATTTACGAAAAAATAGTAGTGGTAATGTAGTAATAGTAATGTTTATATAGGTCCATAACAATTCTTAAATCAAAACTCGGAACTCAGATTTTATCACTTAGAGATTTGAGAATGCAGAGAAAAGAAAAGTATTTGGAAACGCATTAAGCGTTACCTTTATTGCCACAAAAGATCTGCTGTGTGACAGCGCTTTACTTTGTTGAATGATTCAGTTGTTTGAACGAATCTCACAACTGAGACTTTACTACCACCTACTGGAAGTTTCAGATTCTTATTTTGAGGTTTATTTTAATTTTTAAAAAATAACATTTTTTCATTTTAAAATGTAATGTACAATAAACTTTATTCTATAAAATAAGTTGATAGATCACGCACACACAATTTGTCTTCATTTAGACACTTTAAATCTGCATTAATTTCTTTATTTGCTTCTTTTCACATTAACACATTATTATTAAAAATCTTTCAGTGGCAACTTCTGAGTCAATTTAACATTAAAAATGGAGTTTTATCAATAATTTACAAAAATTCAATTCAAGATAACCAATAATAACTTTTAAGTGGTCACTTATTTTTGTTTCCCCAGGGCCATGAGTATTACATTTGATGAAATTATCCATTATGTTCAATCACGTGTTTTAGACTCACCTTCAGGACATTGAGAAGTGTTTTCATTTTATTTAAAATATTCTATAAATTAAGGTAATTAATAAATATTTGACCAATAAATATTTAAATCTTAATGTCTGTAAAATATTGTTTTGAATGTGTGTGTGTGTGTGTGTGTGTGTGTGTTCAGAGAAGAGCTAACAGTAGCTAGTCCATCTGCAACTCCACATAAGCAGTAATTTTGAAGTTTCTTCCGGTCATTCAGGTGACATCTTCTATCTGGGCATCGGGTCAATCCTCTGCTGTCCAGAATCAGGTGGTTTGTCTTGGTTGGGCATCTCAGCTGAGACCTGTCCACTATGAGTGACCCTACCGGTAGCTGTGAAGTACCAGTGGCGTGTACTATTTAATTGTACTAATTTAGTGAACTGTGATTTAACTTTTTTTTTGTTTTTGTTCTGAATAGTTACAGTTTTGGCGTTGATACTGACTAATCTAATGTATATGTACAAATATATTAAAATAAAGCATACTGTAGAAAATATTGATTTAAAAGAAAGATCTGTGAGGGTATTTATACTCACCAATGTATATGCTTCAGTGTGAGTAAAGCAAGTTTGCTAGCATGAAAATGAAAATTGGTAGGTTTTAAAATGATCTGGCGTTTTTTTTTTTTTTTAAATTAATGCACTATTAAAATAAAATTGTTAACATGAGAGTTAATGCCCTGTGAGTTCACATGAACAATGACACTTTATTTCCATTAACTAACTATAACATAAACAAATAGATACTGTAATAAATATTAAAACTCACCAGATTTTCTTTACAGTTAAATACTGGCAACACTGTAATAAAGCTGTAGCAGTAACTAACTGAAAACTGGTTACTGCACTGTAGTTCTATACTCACACTCACAGCTTAATAAACACTGCATCACATGAATGGGCACACATCAATCTTAATATTAAAGCAAAAACAAAAATAAAGTCAGCAACACCAAGGATCCAAATATAATTTTAATTTATTTACTTAAAAAAGCTCAAGACAGCAAACTTTTCTATTGTCCCTGAAATAAATTCACAACCTGTGACCTGAGGTTTGCGTGTGGATGGCTAACATTATACAGTATCATCTTTTGTGATACCCTGTGAGGATTTCTGTGCAAAGTTAACTGGGGAGATTGGAATTTAGTTATTTTAATGTATATAAAAACGATTTAGTTGCCAGAAAGGCACATTACACTGTCTGCATCTGTACATTTTGGCAAAACCAATCAAGAGGAATCGTCCAATTAATACATATACTTAAATTAAAGTAATGTAAGCTGTGAGGAGATGCTAACTGGCTAACAATGTAGCCTTCAAGTACACAGTTCAAGATAAATACAATATGATTGAATACACAGACATTATTTTAGAAACCCTCAAAAACATTTCAACATATTTAACCATTTACAAATTTACTCATTGTAGATTCTTAATTGAGGCTTAAAATATATGAAACTCTGCATCTGAACTGATAGAGAATGGAGCACACTCAGAGGTAAACAAATCAAACACCTGGCTCCCTTAAAGGGGCAACACCTTAGTGTTTAGAATAAGACAGACAGCCTGTGTATGTGTATGTTAATGTCTAAACATTGTTTTATGCCTTAAGATTAATGCAGCTCTCTATAAATAGCCACATAAAGCAACAGAGAAGAGAGGACAATAGTTATTGAACAGTAATTTACCATTTATTACCTATAATGGCTAAAGTCAATTACTGTCATTTATTCTTTGCACTTCACAATTTCATACAAATCCTACTTGTTTTACAGTAAAATGCTTTTTTCATTTATTACAGCAAAACACTGCATATATATACATATTTTAGGGTTATTTACAGCATAATCTACAGCAAAAGTTAAAAGTGTACAATTTAAATAACATCCACAAAAAAGACATCTAACAATCTAAGCCCACCTCCACCCCCTTCCTTTTGGAAGGACATCTATTTTTCATTCATTCATTCATTCAATCATTTAGGAAATACCTAAACTATAACCATCATTGTCCAGTCATTGCTGAGGTCTGTAATTCCTATTTGTCTCCATATGCTGCACTCCAGTCTGTGACAAACACCTGCTACAAACAAGACATCTAGCTAACTATCTAAGCCCACCTCCACCCCCTTCCTTTTGGAAGGACATCTATTCATGATTCATTCATTCATCCATCCATTCAGGAAATACCTAACCAGACCATCAGTTTGCAGTCACTGCTGAGGTGTGATTGCCATTTCTCCACATGTCCCAGACTAATCTGCAAAAGACAAAAACAAGACTAACAGAGCTCTATATGCTGACTGATCTCCAGCAATAAACAAAGTGTTCTCCAGTGTTCTTCTGATATTCTCCACTAATGCTCTTGTGAGTCTCCTTCTTCTGCCTGATGTGGTTCCATTACAGTACCTACCGTGTAAATTACAGCCACAGACAAGGCATCTATCTGACAATCTATGCCCACCACCACCCTTTTCCTCTTGGAAGAAAATCCATCTACGCCATCCATCTCTTTTTAAAGGATATTTCTGATCATCAGTATCCAGTCATTGTTGAGGTCTGTAATTCCTATTTGTCTCCACGTGCTGCACTCCAGTCTGTAAAAGACAAAGACAGGACTAACAGAGCTCTACATGCTTGATGAGCTCCAGCAATGCACAAGATGTTCTCCAGTGTTCTTCAATTAATCCCCACAAATGCTCTTGTGAGTTTCCTTCTTCTGCCAGTTGTGTGTCCATTACTTGAACAAGAAACACCTGCCACAAACAAGACATCTACCTAACTATTTAAGTCCACCACCACCCCCTTCCTCTTGGATGGACATCTATTCATTCATCCACCCATCCATTCTGAAAATACCTAACCAGATCATCAGTTTGCAGTCACTGCTGAGGTGTGATTCCCATTTCTTCACATGTCTTAGACTAATCTGCAAAAGATAAAAACAAGAATAACAGACCTCTATATGCTGACTGATCTTCAGCAATAAACAAAGTGTTCTCCAGTGTTCTCCAGAAATTCTCCACTGATGCTCTTGTGAGTCTCCTTCTTCTGCCTGTTGTGGTTCCACTACCAATACCTACATTGTAAATTACAGTCACAGACAAGGCATCTATCTAACAATCTATGCCCACCACCACCCCTTCCTCTTGAAAGGACATGCATCCATGCACCCATCCATCTCTTTTTGAAGGATATTCCTGATCATCAGTGTCCAGTCATTGTTGAGGTCTAAAATTCCTATTTGTCTCCATATGCTGCACTCCAGTCTGTAAAAGACAAAGACAGGACTAACAGAGCTCTACATACTTGATGAGCTACAGCAATGCACAGGATGTTCTCCAGTGTTCCTCAAATACAAATAATAAGATGCTCTTGTGAGTTTCCTTCTTTTGTCAGCTGTGTCCATTACTTGAACAAGAAACACCTGCCACAAACAAGACATTTAGCTAACTATCTAAGCTCACCACCTTCCCCTTCCTCTTGGAAGCACATCTATTCATTCATCCACCCATCCATTCAGG